GTTCTCATGCTATTGGTAAAGAAAAAATAACACTATCATAAAAATGCAAATTGTATTCTATTAAAGCTTCACCCATAAAATATTTACCATTTTGCAAAAGTACTCTGCACTACTCGAAGGAATTTTAAGGAAAATTGTTGCTTGATATCGCTGGAAACCGAAACTAAAACCGTTTACGAACCCAACAAAATTTCGTCAAAGCCACAACTTAAAGACCTAACAACAATAAGGAGAAGATTGCAGAAACAATATAATTCTACGTATTTGTTCGCGTAGATATTTTAGAAAAATTTCCCCGAATGAAAACCATTAATAGTTCGGAAAAATAGTTCGAATGAAATGGTGTGAACCTAATATTGGCAAACCTGTCATGCCACGGGAAATCAGCGAATTTTCCAACCAAAAATCATTGCCGGGCCCTGATATCGAAAAAATATATAAATCTTCTGTGTGTGTGTGTGTGTGTGTGTGTGTGTGTGTGTGTGTGTGTGTGTGCGCGCGCGCGCGCGCGCGCGCGTGCGTGTGCGCGTATTTTACTTCTCTCACTCCCTTGTAGCGGAAGGGGGCGGCACTGCCGTGACCCCGAGGGTCCCGTCATCTCTGATCTATTTCGGGCTCTCCCGACGGAAGGTAAAGAAGGGTGCCTTATGGAAAGGTCAGGACGAAGAGTCAGACTGAGGTGCCTACAAACGCTGGGGATCGTATATACAAATACCACGCATGTCAAAGGTGCAGCACCAATCTCTGAAGTTTCCCAAGATGTACTTTATCAGATTATTTTATCGATAGTAACGTTATCCCACTTTTATCACATCAGCGTTTTTTTATATCTTATTGTATACAAGTAGAACACGAATCGCCCCGTCTTGTTCTCAATGTGTTGGTTATTCATGTTTACAGGCCAAAAAAATATACATTTTGAATGCTAAAACGTCCAGCTTAAACTACAGTAATATTTCTTAATTATCAGAATGAATGTGTTTCGTGCAATGTATTGATGGGAGTACTGCGCTGTTAGTCTTCCTCTAATTGAAAAAGAACGAAAGTCTAGGTCGTCAACTGTATGCATTAACCAAAACCAAACAATTGTCCACATGGCGTCGTTATTCGGTAAGGAAAATAAAAAGAAATCGGGAATTAAAACACGCTAACAGTTCGATTAGCAAAATAACATAATAGCCCAGGTATACGGGTTTAAAAACTATTTCGGGGGTAGAAACGTTTCACTTCCATCGTTTAACTATTTGAGTGATAATTTACTTTTTCTCATTATTAGTACAATTTCCAAACATAATAGATACAATTATAAAAGTTTGCTTTGATCTAACGCTTGGACGCAATATTTTACCTACCTAACCTAATGCATATTACAATACCTAAATGGAAATGTTCCTTCTAGATTAGTTTGCTTTTCCCGTATTTCCAAACACAATTACCGGGAAAGAAGTACTTTTGACTTGTACACTCAACCCGGCAAATAATATGGAAAGACACAATGTAATACACAACTTCCTCCAAAATAATACGAACTTGCAGACATAAGTCAACGAGCATGCACTGCCAGTTGGACACCTTCGACAAGTGACAAAAAAGTAGAGCCTTTGGAACCACAAGGTTCCACCTAACATTCCACTCATTTCGAGTAAATAGATGTCGAAGTTTAGATCACTTTTTACTCAGTCTTCTCTGCATTGCAGGATTTTTTACAGTAGCTATTTGACCATGCAACTTATTTTTTTCGATTTTGTCAGATGGACTCTTCGATCCTTCGGAGAGTCTAATACACCCAATTCAAGATCTTAGTTTACTCGTAGAACATCTAAATGGAATGATATCTTTGACTTAGAAGGCAGATCTAATGACTCGCACATGTACAATAGTTTAATCTTATATCTTACTTTTTTCTTTAGCACATTTTGAACTGTTTACATCTTTGAAGGCAATCGCAGATGTGAGCGAACCGAAATCAAGTTCAAGAAGCACTATTGAATCCCTTGCATAGTTCGCGTGAACAAAGAGAAACGCGTGGGTTATTGACTTTGGAGTTGCGGCTGAAATTATTTCATGACAAGGAGGCTAATCTGTCTCTATAGCCAAAACATTTAACATATTTGCCACGTGCATATGTTGAAAATATGACTAAGAAAACTTCATTCAGATAACTAGTCTACCTATAAGGAGTACTTCTATTGCAGAAAGATTAATCTGAAAATAAATGCTAAGCTGGCACAATTATGGCTTTACTTTACTTTCATTCCCCTCACTGTTGCAACGTTAATAGTACGATTTCACTATTTTAGTCTATAATTGTGTTCTCATAATTGTCTAAATGTATTTATCATAATTTCCCAACACCTCTCTCGCTCGCAACAATGATTCGAAACGAAACGCAACCAACGCAAGTCCATGGTAGTGTGGATTATGGATTTTTTCGAGAAAATTCTTGTATAATCATCAGGTTCAACGTTGCAAATAATGTTGAGAATTGCAATCCGGGGTAAATCTTCATTCGCCTGAAGTACGTGGAAATTGTGTGAATAAAAGGATAAAATTCATAAATATTATTTCAGAGCCACTAATATGTACACTTACTTCATGGCCTTTTCAAGTAACATGATTCAGTAAATGAAAATGAGAACAGGTGACCATGATAATAACTTCATTTGTTTAGGTAACAAATTTTATGACTTCAATTCGAATCAAATGATGCACTGTGTACACCACGAGCTGGAGACACGTTCCTGCCATTACGTGGCAAGACAACGTGGAAAAACATCCAGAATCATTGTCTAGAAAGCGGATGTACGCGAAAGGAGTCGAATTTCCATGCTGTAACAACAACACCGGGCGCAATAAATTAAGGTAAAATTATATTCACCAAATGTTTTATACTATTAGTTTCGCCTGAAATATTTCCCCAAGAATTTCATATTTTATTTAGTAAGTACTTTCATTTCTGGTAACACGAACAATTTGTTGAGCAAACGAGTATTCATCATACACCTGACAAAAATAACTTTTTGTTTGCATTTTAGCATAACACTAGGAATGATTTTAATCCACTTTGCTCTCCTTGGAGCGCACACAATATTCTCGTTCTAATTTATATTAATTTAACGATATATTTGCTGGTTGTGACAATCGAAGTCAATTCTATTAATATAGAAACTTTTCTAGTATACTTTCCTTATAAAAAATTGAGATTTTGCAGCATGAACGATACTTGTTTCGTGAATCTCTGCATTGGGAGAGGTTAGTGTAATGGGAGTGGCACAATGGAATTCTGCAAATGCCAGAATAGATTAATGAGTATCACCCTAATTAGATCTTGAAAATGCCCTTGCGCAAATCCAGGACTATAATGAAGGGGAAACTAAAAAAAAAAAAAAAAAAAAAAAAAAAAAAAAAAAAAAAAAAAAAAAAAAAAAAAAAACGAAACCTCCCTGGATTCACTGACATTTTCTTTATTAATTATATTATCAAATTTGAAGATATGTCGCAGTTGTCACAAGCCAACTGTGCCACAGTCAGTCCGTGTGGAGAGTGACGACAAAGACCGGATAACGAAAGCGTCGCTCCCATTAGCTCGCTGCTTACGCAGGGTGACGCGATTCATCTCTTTGTCGCCAAAGCATGGTACTCAGGTACCATTACCCTAGGTTAGATGACAACCTAGTTCTGCGTTCGACTGACCATGCTTTCCTTCCTACCTACCAAAGACCGAAAGAGTAACCGGACCGCGGACACCCCTGAGACCCACCCGGCATTACGTAACAACGCGGGGGTCGGGAGCGCCTCGCTAGGCCAACAGCTGGGCGGCGGACGTGGCGCTGCGCGAGCCGCGCAGCTGCATCGGCCAGCACTGGGGGCGACGCGGCGTCGGTATTTCGGGCGGCTCGAGGCGAGGCGACGCCAGCCGATCCGACCCGCTTCCCGCACGTCGCCCGCGGCTCCAGCGCAGCTCCACGCAACCGCCGCTGTCTCCGCGCGCGTCCTTGAGCCTGAACGCACGCTTCCGCCATGTTTTATTCAAGGGCGGGTATTGATCGGGCCACGCTCCCGACCTGCCGCAGAACGCGCGTTGAGACGGGTCGGTTGGCCAAACCGGGTGGGGGTGACGGCCCGGGCTGGGTTTGCACGCCAGGTGTCCCCCGCGCCGGATAACGGCCCCAAGACAAGCTATCCCCCGACAGAGGCCGTCCCGATGCCGTGCGCCGCGCCGCGCACGGGCTGCTCACAGCTCGCTCGGAAGCGCGCCGCCAGCGGTGTTGCCGCGTTGCCTCCGACGCGCAAAGCGTGGCGTAGCGTGGCGTGGCGTGGCGGCGCGGCGCGGCCCGGCCCGGCCCAGTCGCCTCGTGCGGGCGCACCAGGCGAGGCGAAAGCGCAGGCCAAGGGTGGGGAGGGACAAGGCGAGCGCGGTCGATTCCCTGAACCCGCAGCCGCCGATCAATACCCAGCGCGCTCCGCTCTCGAGAAGCTTCCTTCGCTCACGCGCCGCACGTGCGGCCACGACACGTGCCCGCGCCAGCTGACTGGCTGCAGTTACCATAGTGAGCCTAGCAGACATAACGAAGCTATGTCCTATGTCCTAGCGTTTGCGTTCTAGCAAGCAAAAAGCTGCCCCACCTAAAAAAATTAGCCAAAGCCGCCTCTCCTACAAATTAATAAAGACGCATCGCAACGAATGAGTCGCAGTCGGAGGCACGGGCGGGGTTCAACGACCAAAGCGTCACCCGAAAGGGCCTCTTACAGGCGCTTGCCAGCCGTTTTATCACGTGCCGTCCCCATCGGCTGCGGCAGACGCTCGCCACCGCGCGATAACCCCCTCGCTCGTTTCCGCCACGGCCGCTTAGCGCTTCGTCGACGAGGCGAAGGGGAGCGGTGCGATCCGCCGCGCGGCCGCCATCTTGTGAAGGCGGCAGAGAGAGAGAGAGAGAAGAGAAGAGAAGGGGGAGCGCGGCGCGGTGGGCGAGCACAAGGCGGTGGAGGCAACCGCGGGGCGGGCAGGGAGCGGGGCGGGGAGCCGCGAGTGCTGGCGGCCGCGCCGCGCGGCAGCAGTCGCTCCGCAGCAGGCCCCGCGCGTTCCATAGCCGGCCAGGCAGCGGCCCTGCTTTTCCTATTACTGCACGAGTGGCGGGCTGTGCGGCCATAGCACTGCCGCCGCTGACGTTGCCATTGCGAACGAGTAGGACCTCGGCTGTGCCTGTTCGCAGTCGGTCGCGCAGCGTGCCCCGTCACAGCTGAGCCTGATGGCTGGCCGCTTCGGTCCGCGTCTCGACCCAGAAGGTGAGGAACGGCGACTCGCGCCACCGCCGCCCTGCTCCGGCTCACCCCACCCCCCGACCCCACTCTCAGCCAGGCCTCTGCTGCCTCAGGGCCGCACGTGCGTCTGTTTAGGGCTCCGCGCGCGTGGCGTTCGCCTAATTTGCCAAGTCCCCGCAGCGCCTTCGCGGTCGATCCGTTACACGTAGGGCTCGGGCGGGACCCCTCGCGATCCGTAGTTGTCGCTCTAGGCCGCTCTCCTCGAATCCCAAAGGCGGCGGGCGCGCGATGCAGTAGGGAGTGTCAGCGACGAAGCAAGCGAGCGAGCGCAGGTGAGAACCTGCAGTGTATATGGTGTTGACGGCCGCTGCCGTCGCCCGCGTACTCACGACTATCTGCCGCAGGTAACGGCACGCTAACCGCCGCCGCCATGCGCACGCTGGTGGGGCTGTTGGTGTCGTTGATGGTTGCGGTGCTGCTGGGCGCAAGGCCGACGGCGCCTGCTCTGCAGCACCGAGCGCGCCATGCCGCCTCCACGTCCACCGAAGCTTCGGCCGGCTGCCCCGCGGGCTGCGTGTGCTCGTCGTGGGCGGGGGCGGTGCCGGGAGCGGGCTGGCGCGTGCGGTGCGCCAGTGCCCCCTTGCGCCCGCTGCCTGCCGATGCCGCCGCCATCGCCCTGAGCCGCGTCGCGGCGCCCGACGGCGTCCTGAGCGCAGAGCTGGGCCTGCCGGTGGCACAGCTGCGCAACCTTTCGTGGACGCACAGCGGCCTCACAGCGCTGGGGGAGCGGGCGCTGCAAGGCGCCGAGCACCTCCAGCATCTCGACTTGGCCCACAACGCGCTCCCCACATTGCCCGAGGGGGCCCTGCAGCAGCTGAGGGAACTCCTGTCGCTCGACCTCAGCCACAACCTCCTGACCGACTTGCCCCCGGGGGCCTTCGCCGGCGCCTCCAACCTGCGCTCCCTCAACCTGGCGCACAACGAATTGCACGCCGTGCCCTTCGAAGTGTTTGCACCGCTCGAGGCGCTAGAGAGACTCGACCTGTCGTACAACCAGCTGGCGGCGCTGCAAGACGACTTCCTGGTGCCCAACGCGGAGCTGCGGCATCTCACATTCGCGCACAACCGCCTCACGCACCTCTCGCTGCGCTCCTTCGCCGGCCTGCGACTCCTCGAGCGCCTCGATCTCGCTCACAACGAGCTTGCGCATCTCCCGCGTCGCCCGTTTCACGATCTGGAGGCCCTGCGCAGCCTCAGCCTGGCAAGCAACGTGCTGCCCGCGCTCGGCGCCGACACATTACAAGGCCTCCGTGCGCTGCTCGACCTCGACGTGAGCGGCAACCCGCTGCGTGCCATCGCCCCAGGTGCCTTCTCCTCGTGTTGCGGAGAGCTGCGATCCCTCAGCCTGGCGGGCAGTGAGCTGCGCGTGCTCAACGCGTCACACCTGCGGGGGCTGCACCGCCTGGAGGCTCTGTCGCTCGAGGGCAGCCGGCGCCTGGTCACACTGGACACGCACGCCGCGTTCGAGCTACCCGCGTTGCGTGCGCTCGACGTGCGCAACGCCAATCTGTCCACACTGCCCAGTGCGCTTGAAGTCCTAAGCGACCTGCGCCGCCTGCGCATGGCGGACAACCCCTGGTCGTGCGACTGCCGCCTCGTGTGGTTCGCGACGTGGGCGCGCGGAAGACCCGCTCTAGAGCTCGACGATCCGGTGTGCACCAACGCGCCCTACAACAGCCCCCCGCGGCCTCTCCTGCGCACGCTGCGCTCGCTCAATTGCCGCCCGGCCACCCTGCTGCACGCCACCGAGCGCCGCCTATACTCTCTGGGCGGCCCCGCGCTGCTGTCGTGTTCCTTCGGGGGCAGCCCCGCCCCATCGCTCACGTGGGTTACGCCCACGGGGCGCCGTCTTCACTGGGCCCCGGCGCCCGCTCTCGCGCCCCACCCCGACCAGGCCGCCGCCGCCGCTGCAGCCGCCTTCTCCGCGACAGACGAGGACGGTGACCGTCTGCGTGTGCTGGACAACGGCACGCTCTTGGTGAGCCACGTGCTCCGCTCCGACTGCGGACGCTACGTATGCCACGCCTCCAACCCTCTGGCCAACGCCACGGCCTTCGTGCTGCTTCACATCGATCCCATCGTCATTTACCGCATCAAGATCATCAGCATCCTCGTGGGCGCTGCCAGCGCAGCGGGCTTCCTGTTGCTCACACTCTTCGTGCAGCTGCTTCGACACATCTTAAACAGGTGCTTCTCTTCGCGTGCCCTAGCCCGCGCGCGCTGACCACACCCTCGCACCCACCTTCCCCTGCACGCTTATTTTGTCCGCAGGCTGGGCTTGCCCCATTGCTGCTGCTGGTGCCGCAAGGATCGGGTGTCGCCGCGCGCAAAGCAGATCTACCAGATGTTGGACAACATCGAGCAATATAAAACACAACAGCTGGAGCGCCTCAGGGAAAACTATACGCAGCAGGTGCACCGCATCAAGGACAATTGCGCTCAACAAATGGAGTGGATCCAGACCAGCTACCAGGGCCAAGCCAAATACTTGCGTGACATCCGTGACATAGGAACTAATCATCTCACTGCCCTCAGAGACCAGTATTACGACCAGGTAAATGTCCTCTATTATTTAATTCGTTTCTAATGTTCGATAATACATAACCAATTCAGTCTAGAGCGTTTTGAAATTTTCAATTAAGACACACGCCATCACGTCGCCCAATCAGAGGCAAGCATGTAGCTTTGTAAAATAACTGCATTGCGACCCAGATCCCGCACGTAATTGGGCGTGCACAAAAGCATCAGCTGTGGGAACCAGGGCATACAACGCCTTCCTCTCTCTTCCCCCAGGTGAAGCGTGTCCGCGACTACTCCACGAGCCAGCTGAACTGGGTGCGAGAAAACTACGTCTTCCAGCGGAACCGCATTCGCAAGTTCAGCGCGCACCAGGTGCTGCGGCTCCGCGAGGGCTGCAAGTATCAACAGCAGACGCTGAACAAGCTACTGGAAAACCTGCCGTCCCTGTATCTGGAGAACTGCCGCAGCGGCTCATGCGGTCGCACCGATTCCGTCGTCTTCGACCCCGCCGACCTCGCGGACATGGACGTGTACGTGAAGGCGGCGCTGGCGCGGCCAGCGGCGTCGGGGGGCTTGAGCTCCAAAACGCTCGCGGCCGTCCACGACGGCGCCATCCCTTCCCGCACCTGCCGTCTGGGGGCTTCTGCCTCCCTTGTTGGCTCCCCTGCCGACGATCTTGACGCCACGGGCGACGACTCCCAATCCCACCTTTCGCTCTACTACACGCCCTCCGAGTTGTCCGACAGCCCGCACCTCTCACCGGGCAACCTCCTCGCCCAGCTCGAGCTCCGTATCGACACGAGCTTCGACGAAAGCAAGGAGGACGAGGCGACGGCTTGCGCCCCCGGCCTGGCGATCGGCGACGCCGCAGTCGCGGACGAGGATGAGGAGGAAGACCCTTCCGCGGAGCCGCAGACGTCCCCGTACTTCTCGCCGCGCGCGCGCCGCAGCCGCCGTCAAGCGCTGCCCACAGCCTGTTACGTCGAGGCGCCGTGCGGCGTCTTCCACTGTTCGCGGCCGAGAGGCGGCGGGGGCGGCGCGGCGGCGGGAGCGCGCGCCAGCGCCAGCCCCGAAGAAGTAGCCGTGCTGCTGCCTCCACCCCTGCCCGCCGCCGTGGCCACGCTCGCCGCGCCGGCGGCGGCAGCAGCAGCCGTCAACCACGAGACTGCCTTGTAGTGCCAACAACGCTCCAAACAGTTTTTCACTCATGTTACGTCACCGGTTAATTTATTCGTCTCAGCTGTGATAGAAACTATGATGGTGCAGAAGAAATTCTGTAGTTTCCTCTTGCTCGAGTCTTTCGGCGAGATGCGAGTGTATGCGTGAAAGAAAGGTGAACGCGCGAATGAGAGAAGTGTGATGATGGCGGCAGCGGGAGAGAGCCGCTGAAAAAAAAGTGCCGGCAATGGTTATCGTGATTCCCGGACTACTTCCCCAGTGTAGTGTCCCTGTGACGGAGAAGGCCGGTAAGCGCGCGACGTCGGTCGATCAGCATCTCCGACAAACCCCAGAGACGCAAGCACGAACTCCTGTATATCTCGGCCAGCGCCATTCTAAACGTCGTTAATAGAGGGGTAAGAAGAGACTGCTAGTTCGTAAGGATTCCAGAAACTAAATCTTCCTTTCTCATGCATTATGGAAGTAGATCCTGTTCTTGTTTTAAAAATGTTATACGAAACCATTGCCATATCGCTAAGGTCTACCAGTAAAATGTTTTTACTTGCCAATTAGGGTTTTTATTTGTATTGTTTGTGGTTGTTATGGTATTTTTAACTTAAATTTGGGAGGTCCAATTATCAAAAAACAGGTTTTTCATACCCCATTCATCACAAGTCGCAAATTTGTGACAACTTCCTAAATGTAATTACTCAATTTGGTACGGGACAACTATCAGAGAACCTGGCCACTATGTTAAGGGATATTCAATATTTATATTTTCTAAAAAAAAGTAAGTTCACCAAAATTTAAAAAATGAATAATGTTGATCAGTATTTTCACTGCTGTAACTGGAATGTTGCAAGCTAAGTGACATTGTAGTTCATGTTGAAGAATAACATTGTTAGGCACAAGAATAAGGATGATTTATTTATCATTCCCTTACTCTCTGCCCTTTTCCATTTCTCCCTCAATAAATAAGTGAAGTAAATAGAAATAGAACTGGTATTAAAGCAAGCTCTCAGCTTTTCTAAAGGCAAACATTGGCAATATACGAGAACAAATAGTTTAATACAATATAAAATATTAACCTTAATTGAGTATCAATTCTTGATTCAAACATTTAACAAATGAAAACATTCAATTATAAACAGAACTTACCTTGTCTGGAGACCGGTTCCAAACAATGACAGAATGTCCAGAGTTCAAGAGGTTCTTCACAATTCCCGAACCCATTATGCCCAAACCAAGGAACCCAAACTTAAGGGTTGATGGCATAATGTTTTTTTCTTTAAGGGTCTGAGTTACACTTTCCACGTCCAAATATGGTGTATCCTGAGAACCATCCAACTATATACAGTCTGTCATAAATCCTATAGCCATCACTCTTTGAAACATAAAACTCACCGGCCGAACAATGGTTGTTGGTCGTTCCAGTAGAGTACTTGCTGGCCCTTTACGAGGACTGTGGTTACTCAGAATTGGTGAATCTGCTCTCACACTTTCCTTATCCGCTTCAACAGAATTTGTTCGAACTTTCTTAGGTGACTTTGCTGAATTGTCATCATGAGCAGGTCGTTTCTCCTACATTATACATTACAAATAATTACACCAACACATTATGTTATGTAACCTTCATATAAACAACGGTCTCAAGAACATACCTTTCTTTGTTTTGGTTTCGACTCTTTCTTCTCTGCTAAACTTTCTCGTAACCTATTAAATTCTGCATCAGGATCATCAAATTTCTAGAAAATAAAAAGTTCCAATAATATTACCAAGAACTTCAATAATAATAATCATAATAATAATAATAATAATAATAATAATAATAATAATAACAACAACAACAACAACAAGTACTAGAAACATACCGCTCCATTGTTTTTAATGTATTCTTCAATTGCATCCAGAGCATCTTTGAATGCACCTGATTTGTTCGATTTGACCAAACGGTCTCTGTATTCAAAGTAAGGTTTAATGTTTGCCTCTTCAATCCACGCACTGAAACAAAAAGACATTTCCTATTTAACACATTGTCTCCTCACTGAATACACAACTCATTACAATTTACAGTAATTTCATACTTTTGAGATGCATTAGATCACAAGAAAGTAACTTGGTATAAAAAAAAAACAACACAAAATCCTCAGACAATGACTTCAGTATTACTAATATTTGTTCCTGCCTCCCCTACATTGAAATGCCTACTGTCATTAACTATTTCATTACTGTGACCTACTTTCATTCTCTTTACGTACGAAAATTTATTAGTTAAAAAACTGAACAATCCTTTCTTTCCTATTTTGCAGTCTTCACTTCTAATTAAGGAGAGTAAAAATTAGAAAGCAATAATTAGTGTTAACATTACAAAAGCAGATTGTCCATGATACTTTTATTTGGTATAGATGAATGAACTATAAAAACAAATGTGGCGTTAAAATAAAGACGGTGTATAAATACATGTTCCATAGAACATTAAATATATTACTCTAATAAACAGCATTGCCAACAATAATCAAATTATAAAAAGAGGACATGCAAAAAATTGCATTAATTTAGCACAATATAGTATCTCCATTTCACATTAGTTCACAAAATAATTCAACTTTAGGATGTTTACATGGGTCAAATTCTTGAGTGCTTTAGTCATCTGACAATAGCAGCAAGCCTTTCAACCAAAACCAAAGAGTAATGAGAACATGTAGAAACTGCTATTTACAAGAACAATCTCTCAGTAAATTAATTAATTAAATTTTAATTCTGAGACAGGGAAAATGAAGGGAAGAATAAAAACAAAACAATCACAAGAAAATAAAAACAATAAAATCTTCCAAGTAGATGAATCCAAAACTATGAAAACAAATCATACATGAAAAAATTAACTTAATGAAAGAATTAATACTACCAGAACAAAAAAGTTGACTTTCATGGACTGTTTAATACCTACACAGTTGAGACAGGTGTTTTGAGACTTACGTCTATCAATCACATTAACATGAAATTTAGCAGTTTACCAGGAGCAAAATAAATTATGATTCACAATACCGGCAAAAGAACAACTGTACACAGGGGTAGTATAAGATTACTAGAAGAACTTTACTTTAATTATTAAAATATGTAAAAGAAATAGGAAATTGTTTTAATAAGGATGCGAATGAGGATTAAATAAAATCAAAAAAACTACTTCCAAATGTAATGACATAACAGAAATTCTCAGAACCAACAAACACGTCAAGAGAAGCAAGAATATATGAAAATAAGTTCTCTACATTTCTTTCTAGTAAATGTTGATCTTGTTCTAATACATGATCTCAGGACAACACGCACATTAATGATATAAATCTGAGAAATGACAAGACTTAAGTGCTTGTACTTCAATTTCGCTTTTATTTCAATAACAATTAAAATTTAAATACTTAACTTCTAACTCATGAAATTTAACAAAGAAAACGTTAGATTAAATGAACAGAAACTATCATTCTTCTTTACTACCAAATCATGAATTAAAACATTCTCATTTCTAACTTTATTTTTAATAAACAGAAAAAAACACTTCAAATTCTTAGACATCTTGAATTAAAAATCAAAATTTCATTACTATACTGCGATTTATGAAACTCTGACCCTGGCAGGTTCGCAGTTTCATCCAATCGAGAGCTTGAACATCACCAGTGACCATGAATGGCACATTTAAGCTCCCGATTGGATGAATGTCAATAAATGATAGCTGCCAGGGACAGAGTTGCAAAAATCACAGTATAAATCCAAATACTCAAAATTCGGCCATGTTCAGATACATTTCTAATATTGTTAATCATATATCCAGAAATTTAAGCAATGAGGTACAATACCATGCAACCACATATTCGTAGTTAATGACATGCTCGTTGCGATTGCAAACAATATCAACACATTTATCTTTACTTGGCATATCTTGCATGCATTTTTTCCTTAAGTGATATTGTAGTGTGTGACTACTAAATCTAGATTGAAAGAAATACATTCAACACACACACACATTAATTAAATACAATAAATTAAAATTAACTTTAAAAAATATCATATATAATAATTAAAAGCATTAATAGGAAACAGAAAAATAAATCTAAAAAAAGTATAAAAACAATAGATCATATGTTTTAAACACGTCTTCCTCAATGTTTGTAGGTTCACACATTTTCTTTCTTGAAAGGAAGTTCCAAGAATTTAATCAAAAGCAAGTTCATATCACAACACACCAACTATTTCATATTTGGACATACAGAACATAATGAAAAACAGGAAGAAGCAACCCAACAAAAAAAGAAACAAAAAACATAAGTTACATTACAAATAATGTACAATGCATTCAACTGAACATTGTGATTTTTGTACTGGTAATACATAACTGGAAGATAAGTTATCAAATTTATGTTTCTGAAAAAGCTAACCAATTGTTTGCTTTTCATACAATACCTATAAGTACAAATACATTTCATGCAACACAATTATGTAAAAGGTTTGAAACAACATCGTATCAGTTGTCTTCCCTATAATTGAATTTCAATTTCTTAACCTCCTTAAAACTCTGCAGAGGAATATCTTCATTATACAAGAGATAGTAACTACTAAACCTATAATTTCACTGGCATAGTAGAATTGCAAACCACATTTATAAAACAAAACTCTCCTAAGAAGTAAATATTTATTATTATATTAACATATATCCATGAAGCCTTACTCCATGTATTCAGTCAATAATGAATTTATTCCATTATTGAATTCAATCCATTACCAGACTGACCTTTTCTGTGAAAGGTGTAAAAACAAGAATTGCAGAAGAAAGCCAGTATATTTTGTTTGTACTATTCTTATGTATAAATGAATGAACATTCAAATATACTGCAAGTATGATTCATCATACCATTTATAAAATATAAAATTATAAATATCTTCAAAAAAGTACCTGTGTAATGGTACACAGAGTACATCAATGTAAATTTCACAATTGTGTATCTGATATTAAATGTACTATTTTCTTCTAAAGACCCCACTTATATCCTATAATTATTATTAGTAGTCCATTAAATTAACTTCTTTGACTACCAACACTTTTCAAATCTGCAGTTAAGATGAATATAAATAAAATCTTGATATTTAGTTCATAGTGAATGAACCAATTCAAATTGTTCCTATTTTCCATAAAAGTTGGATACAAATGAAATGTGAATAATATAATGTGCAAGTTTGTGATGTGATAGAAACAGTATGGCAATACCAAGTGACCAAATTTGCACTGGGCATGGAATAAGAAGAACAAAAAGAAAAAAGAGAGAAAAAGATGTAAAAAAGAAGAAGAGTGATGAAGATTAGAAAACACAAGTGACCACAAAATTAATAAAAATTTGTGGGTAAACAATCTGTTGTTGTGATAGGGGAGTACCCCAAGATTTTATTTACCGTCACACAGCTTGAAGCTATCCCTGTGTCCCTTGACAATTGGCTTCTAAGTATTGACATTTCTACTCCTCTACCAGGACTAGGAAATTGGCGCATTTGTTTCCAAATACTCCCAGGCATCACTATGCAGCTACTATGAAGGACCACATTGGTTTACTGCAGTGACCAATCATTTTCGATTGAATGCATAAAATTGCCTGTTTTGATGTATGGCTCTGCATTTCCCCACCTATTAGGTGCAGTTTCGTTTTTGGAAAACTGAAAATGGGAAAACGCAGTCACTTCGCGTCTGGTTTTAAAAGGATAATTCTCCTTCCCCGTCGACCTTTCAATATTACCATACGGTAAAAATCAAGGTTCATGTTGCACATTTGGGTAAAAACTGCAATTACGAATCACAATACCTCTCCTAAACTCATCAAAAAACGTCAACAACACAAAACCTGAAAACGTATATTCAATATGGAATATTCCAGAACAGAGTCTATACAATCGTCGGACTTCTGAACACTAGGGCACGATAAAACTTTTCTCTATCGAAACTAAATCCATTGGCTAAGAACCCTTGTTGAAATACAACAGTCAAAGATAAATAATTTCTGCAGCACCCAACACAAATTCATGTTTAACATAAAACATATGGACTAGCTGCATACACCCCGTTTCAAAGCTCCGCGAATTACGAAAAATGAAGTCAGTTTTGACTAAAATCACACGGTCGTAAATGAATAGCAAAGGCAAAGGTAGGATTCCAAGCTCAACGAAGAGACGCTTGCAGGAATAAAACGATATAGTTTTTTTCAATTCGTGGAATATAGTAAAACATTCGACCAAATCAACTAGAAACCTTGTAGAGAACGTTGTTTTAAACGTAACGATAGAAATGTGAACGATCCGGCAGCAGTGACTAGTCTCTTTAACCAATACTTTAGGAGAATTGCTGCCTATCTCACTAAGGTCTTCGGTCACAAAACTCAGTCGCTTCCCCAAAAATTTTAGACACTATGTTCGTTTCCGAAACTCCTTCCAATGAGGTTCTCAAAATAATCGGTAGACTGAAAAATAAATATTCGGCCGGTTTGGATGAATTTCCAGATTGTTTGTTAAAGACTGGTGCGCCCACCATTATACACCCGTCACATATTTAATGTATCCTTATGCACAGGAATTGTTCCAAATATTTTTAAAACAGCGAAGATTAAGCCACTTTTATCGGCCAATCTTTGTCGTTTTTTTCAAAAATGTTACACTTTTTTTACTTGCGAATGAAAATCTTTCTTAGTAAACACGACATGTTTTCAGATTGCCGAAATGGGTTTCGAAAATCGAAATCTACGGAAACAATCATATTTTCTTTTCGTAAAGATGTCGCCTCATCCACGGATCAAAACGAAGCACCTACTGGAATATTTTTAGATCTTTCAAAAGCTTTTGACGTCATCATAACATTTTACTTTCATGGTATGGTATTCGTGGTATTTCTCTCGTTTGGTTATGTTAGTACAACAAACAACGACCTCAGAGTAGAAATACCTTACTGGGATAATAGAACATTACGTACAGAACATTTCGATTCTTTGCCAATTGCATGTGGAGTCCCGCGGGGAACGATTTTAGGCCCTATTCTCTTCCTACTATACGTAAATGATATGCCCTCG